TTTTCTTTCTTAAATATTTTAAAATAATACTTTATTGTGTTTTAGGTGAAAGTTTACACAGGAAAATTAGGTTCTAATTTAACAATTTTTTTCCCCCAATTTTCTCTCTCCTCCCTCCCCATCCCTGGTAACCAAAAAACAAAGTTTCCTTCCATGTGTAAAACTTGCTTTGACTTTTTACAATAGAGGATTAATATAATATTTGTCCTTCTATGATTAACTTATTTCATTCAGCATTATGTCTTGAGGGTCTATTTCTGAGAGCCTTTGGAAGATAGTTTGCAAAAATAGTCATTATTATCCCCACTCTGTATCCAGGCCCTTTTGCATTGCCCTAGCTGACAGCTAGTCAGCAGCCAGGCATATGAACATAGCCATGCTAAGCCAGCAATCCCTCAATCAACCTACCAGATGAATGTAGATATATGAGTGCTCCCCCAGCTGAGATTAGCTGAGGCAGGCCCAGGTTACCAGAACCACCCAATGACCATAGGACTTGTGAGCAAATAAAAATAATTGTTCCTTTAAGCCAGTAAGATCTTAGATGGTTTGTTATGCAGCAAAAGCTAATTGACACCAAACTACCTACTCCTAGTACTAGGAACTGTATCAGTCAGGGTCCAGTCAGGAAAATCTGGGTATTTCAAATGAAAGATTTTAATGTAGAGAATTGATTATGCAGTTGATGGAATTGCTAATGAGCTAAATGGCACAGTAAGGAAAGTGAGAAGCTGTGACCATCCTTACAGCTAAAGAAACACAGGAAGGATGTGGGTTACCAAAGGCCAGAAGTCAGGGTCAACAGTGGGAGCTGGAACCCACTGCAACCAAGGATATGCAGCTATCTGATGGAAGTCAGAATCACAAAGGAGACTCTGACTCAACTTTGTGCTTTTTATCTGTCTAGGAAGGTGGGGCAATCTACTTCCATAGTGATATTGCCTCGGAAACCCAAGGAGGAGTCGCTATGAGTCGGAACCAACTCCACGGCAGTAAATTTGGATTTTTGGTTTAGTGCCATTAGATGCAGCCATTTAAACTGTCTTTTGGTCCATTATTTCTTTACGTCCTCCATTGCATGAAATGAATTAATATATATAAAGTGCTTAGGACAGTGCCTGGTACATAGTGCTACATAAGTACTAGCTATCATCATCATTATTACCAGCATCTTCATCTTCATAGTCATACTTTTTTTTAACTGCAGGCCATTATTGCCTCAAAGCCTTAACCTTTAATGAGTACCGCATCCCATGTGAGCCTGGAGATAATTTAATTAGATATTTACTACTATATTCCACCAAAAAAAAAAAAGCCAAACCAAACTCACTGCCATTGAGTCCATTCAACTCATAACGACCCCTCCTGGGTCTCCAAGTCAGTATCTCTATGGAAGTAGATTTCCCAATCTTCCTTCTGAGGAGTGACTGGTGGTTTGAACTACCAGCCTTCTGGTTAGCAGTCAAGTGCCTTAGACACTACGCCACCAGAGCTCCCCAATATTCCACAGGCTTCCTGAATACTAGTGTAGATTTTTGTTTTCATTGTCTTTAACCCTAAACAAGGCCCGATAACCAATTCTAGATTCCTCCTATTTTCCTGAGGTTGATATTACCACAGCCCCCTTTCTGGTACCACTACCTGAATTTGTCAGGGCACTGAAAATGACTGAGGTTAATTTAAACAGAGAAAGAATTTATGAAATGTCATCTTGGATAGAATAATTTAACCCTAAAATCTCAGTGGCCTAACACACACAAACCTCACTCATCCTATAGATCCAATGAGGATTGAAGGCAAGTGATCTACTCCACATTGCCTCTTGGGGAATCGAAAACAATGAAAGGTCCACTATCTGGAAAGTTGCTGGTCATCACATCAGGGGAAAAGAAACATTAGATAAACATGCAGGGTCTTTTCACTGCCTCAGTTTGGACTTATCACATGCCCCTGCTTAAGTGTAAGGCGGTTAGGAAATGGAGACTACCATATGCCTAGGAGGGAAATGAAAATTGGGTAGTGGTAAGTACTAGTAATGTCTAGCACAGAAGGATGGAAAGCAGTTTACAGTACACAGAGAATTATTGTAGGTCAAGAGATAAAAATAAAGAGACAAGCTACAGATAAGATATTGCCATAATTGTACCTTGTCTCTTTATTTTTATCTCTTGACCTACAATAATAACATAATCTGTTTGGACACTGACTCTGGCCCCATCACTTGCCACACTCATCATCTCATTGTTGAACTTCATACCTTTGGAAAGATCTGCCATAATGTTAGTCCTTAACAACACTACAGCAACAACAATCTCAAACTGAACCCCTTTACAGCTCAAAATTTCAAGGCCAAATATCTGATTAGCTCCCCAAGTAGTTTAGGTCATGTGCCCATCTTTTAGTTTCAAGGAGTTGGGAGAGGAAAATTCTCCCTACTTCACTTTCTATGATGTTTCTTTACAAATGGAATCTCCCCTAAATGAAGGAGGCTCAGATTCTGGCCAGCTAAAATATAACAATGTGCAGTATATAATTTAATATTTTGTACTTTTAAGAATTTTATATGACCCACAAATATATATAGGCTTGACAGAGGATATTTCTACATATATATTTATATATGCTGTAAATATATCCATGGATATAGAAGAATATACAGTAGACAAGTTTACAAAAACTTCTTAGCCATAGCCAAACACTTTGAAAGAATGAGTCACTGGGCCTGGGGGCTCAGGATCATAGTCTCAGGGGACATCAAGGTCAATTGTCATAACATAGTCCACAAAGACAATGTTCTATATCCTACTTTGGTGAGTAATACTGGGGTCTTAAAAGCTTATGAGTAGTCATCCAAGGTGCATCTATCTATCTATCTCTCCCCATCCAAAGCAAGAAAGAGTGAAGAAAATCAAAGACATATGGAAACAATTAGTCCAAAGGACTAATGGACCACATAAACCCTAGCTTCTACTACTTTGAGACCAGAAAAATAAGATGTGCCCAGCTACCACTACTAATAGCTCCAAGTGGAATCACAGTAGGTGTTCCTGGATAGACTGGAAGAAAAATGTGGGGGGAAAAAAAAAAAATCATAAAAAGAAAAAAAAGACCAGGCTTACTGGTCTGAGAGAGACTGGTGGAACCCCCAAGGCTATGGCCATTAATCACCCTTCAAGCCCAGAACTGAATTCACCCTTGGAGTCAACTTTAGCCAAACAAAAGACAAGTCTATAAGGTGAACATTAACACCAAGGAGGTATGCACTCCTTACAACAGTGAACCATACGTGATCAAAAGAGCAGCATTTGCCTGGGACAAAGCTCAGAAGGCAGGAAGGGATAGGAGAGAAGGATGAATGGAATGAAAAACACAGGGAGGAAATGGAAGAGTGCTGTTACATCGTAGGGACTGCAATCCATGTCATGAAATGAAATGCATATGAATTGTTGAACAGAAAACTAATCTGCTCTGTAAATTTTCACCCCAATCACAAAAAGTTAAAAAAAAAATTACATGAATGGAATCATACAGTATGTATTCTTTTTTCAATCTGGCTTCTTTCACAGGGTAATTATTTTTGGGTTGATTTATGTTATGGCATGTATCAATACTTCATTCTTTTTCATTACTGAATACTATTCCACTGTATGAATATACCACAGTTTGTTTAACCATTCACCTACTGATGGACATGTGGGTTGTTTCTACTTTTTGGCTATTACAATAAAGCTACTATGAACAATCATGTACAGACCTTTTTATGAATATATGTTTCCATTTCTCTTGGATAAATCCCTAGGGTAGAATTGCTGGATCATATGCTAGGTGTGGTGGTGCAGTAGTTAAAGCATTTGGCTGCTAACCAAAATGTTGGCAGTTTGAGCCCACCAATTTTCTCCATGGGAGAAAGATGAAGCAGTCTGCTTCCATAAAGGTTTAAAGCCTTGGAAACTCTATGGGGCAGTTCTACTCTGTCATATAGGGTGTGGAGCATGGTGAGATATTCCCCCTAAAGTGAAGGATAATTTATTACATCTAGCTCCTCTCACAACTAAAAAAGAGACAAAATACCTGATGGGCTTCTTTGGATTTTAGAGGCAACATATTCCTCATTTGAGTGTGTTACTCCAGCCTATTTATTAAGTAACTGAAAAAGCTGCTAGTTTTGAGTGGGGTACAGAACACGACAAGGCTTTACAACAGGTTCAGGCTGCTATGCAAGCTGCTCTACCACCTGGGCCATATGGTCTGCTGATCCAATGGAGCCTGAAGTGGCAGTAGGAGAAAAGATGATGTTTGGAGTATTTGGCAGGCCTCTACTGGTGTATCACCTTAGGATTTTGGAGCAAAACCCTGCCATCCTCTGAAGATAACTGTTCTTCTATTGAAAAACAGCTTTTGGCTTGTTACTAAGCCGTAGTAGAGACTGATTGCCTAACCATGTGCCACCAAGTCACCAAACAACCAAACAGCTTGAGCTTCCCATTATGAACTGGGTGCTGCTGACCTAGGGTCATAAATTTGGACATGCACAACAGTTCTCCATCATTAAATGGAAGTGCTATATATGAGATCAGGCTTGAATAGGACAAGTAAGTTGCATGAGGAAGTAGCCTAAATGCCCATGGTCTCCACTCCTGTCATATTTTTCCCTCTCCCAGTCTGCACCTATGGACTCATGGGGAGTTCCTTATGATCAGTTGACTGAGGAAGAGAAAATTCATACGTGGTTTACAGATGGTTCTGTGTGATATGCAGGCTCCACTTGAAAGTGGTGCAGCACTGCAGTCCCTTTCTGAGACCTCCCTGAAAGACAGTGGTGAAAGGAAATCCTCGCAATGGGCAAAACTTTGAGCACTGCACCTGCTTGTTCACTTTTCTTGGAAGGAGAAATGGCCAGATGTGTGACTGTACATTGTGATTCATGGCCTGTGGCCAATTGTTTGGCTGCATGGTTGGGGATTTGGAAGGAAGTGTTGGAAAATTGGTGACAAGGAGATATGGGAAACAGGTATGTAAATAGACCTCTCTGAATGGGCAAAAGAAGTGAAAATATATGTGTTTCATGTCAGTGTTCACTAAGGGTAACCTCAGCAGATAATTTTAACAATAAAATGGATAGGATGGCATGTTCTGTGGAAACCAGTCATCCTCTACCCCTTGCCATTCCTGTCATTGCTCAATGGCCTCATGAACAAAGTGGTCATGGTAGCAGGGATGAAGATTATATGTGGGCTCA